AAGTAAAAATCATGTAGACTGAACATATAGGTCAATTTGAGGAAGTGATGTCACCAGAAATGACTGGTACATATCTTTATAGGAGGGACTTTTTTAGACACAGTGTGACAAACAAGAAGAAAACCCAAGAGACACAATGGTGGAATGCAGAGGGATTCAAATGTTTTCTTTCTCTAATGGTACTTATACTTCAATTATCAGGTAAGGATACGTGTACATTTACAAGTAGAATTTCAAACTTTTACTTGGTTGAAAGAGATGTAAACACAAAACGTTTGCCCAAGTTTAGAGTGTCTTCGTCGTCAGGGAGAAACCACTTTCAGTTTAATTAAGTGAAAAAGATTGAATTAAAAAAGATGCTATATAGTATAAGTATCATTCTATTTAGTCATTCAGGCCCCCCTCAAATAATTTCTTTGTCAAAATGAGAAATACTATTTAAAAACTGATGTATCTAAAATTATTATAATCATAATCATATTATATAATCATTTTTGCATTTGTTTCTGATTTTACCAGCAACAGAAGTTCAGGACTCTGTCCTGTCAGAGTTGGAGATAAAGTCACTTTGTCTTGTGGAAATGTGAAAGATGATCAGGAAAAATGTAACAGCACTACCTGTCTCTTCACTACATCTAGAAAGCCGAGCGCAGTGACACTGTTTGAAAATGGGAAGATGCATGCAAATGCTAAGAATAAATCACCCAGACTAAGTGTGACTGTAAACTGTTCGCTGGTGATAAATGTCACAGCTGACGATGTTGGTGATTACACCTGCAGAATGTTCAACAAATCAGGAAAACAAGAAGGTCCAGGTTTTATAAACAGACTCTTTCCTGTTAACAGTGGGTATTTCCATCATAATACTATCAGCTCAAAACGGCTCAGTTCAACATCATATTACTGTAAAAATCATAGTTACTCTGAGGACTGCCGAAAATTCTCCTTATTTTTTCTTTTCTTTTATCATCAGTGAGCGAACGTAAAGAAGGCAACATGGTGACCTTGACCTGCTCTGTGTCAATGTATGAGCAATGCTGATACACAGTCAAGTGGCTGTATGAAGATAAATCCACTGATAATAATAACAAAGGCTTGAAGACGTCACAGTCTGCCTGCTCAGCCAGTGTGACATTTACAACTTCTCATAATGTTTACACATCAAAGAATTATGATTTATTCAAGTGCCAAGTGAAAAATGATGATGATGACAATATGAAGGTATGGAAAGAGGTGAGAATTTGGTATTTGTTTTGATTCGTTTCTATTTTATTTTTTTAATTTTAAAAAATATTGCACTTCCTGTACTCCTGTGTACTGATGACTCTCTATATAAGTTAATGTTGTCATTGGGCTCTTCGTCTCAATTTGCAATCCAAGTAATTTCCATATAGAATAATCAGTATTGATATAAACTCTGCTACTGTCCTTCCAAGAAATTCAAATGTTGTATTTTGACACATTTCCTATTAAAAGTTAATGTTCTTAGTCACATCTAAGTCTTACATCATGTTGTTGCTCAACAAGAATCTCTTTACTCACAAGAAGATGATTAAACATTTCTTTGCCTGGAAAAAAACAAAACAAAAAAAAAGTATTTTATTTTTAGCCAATGAACAGAACAGAAACTGAAATTTTTTAAAATGTTGTCCTTTTCTTCAGAATGGGGGAAGGTGATTGCTGCGTTAGTGGGTGTAGTAGCACTCCTAATATGTGTAGTTGTTGTTATATCCATCCATCCATCCAGTGGAAGAAATTTAAAGGTAAGAGCCTCCACAAGATGAACCTTTTATAAATAAAAATGTCTAAGCAGCCTGAAGACTCTAAGTGGGTTTCTCTTTTTCCGAAAACAGATTGCAGACCAGGGAAATCACTGTAAGTTTTGCTTTAATTATAAGCTTGTTATAGGCTATGACTGCTAAAGACTTTTTGTATCCCAATCTGGGATAAACTAAGCACATGCGAACTTAAAATTGTATTTTATCTTTTAATGTTTTATTAAATTAAAATAAATTCAGCAATTTTTTTCTTTTAATTTATGATGATATCCAATTTCTTTTTTAAAAAGAGAAGAAGAAAACAGAAAAATGCCCTCATACTGACTCAGTCTGCTTTCACAACTATTCAGCTCTCTGTAATAGTAAAGAGTTATGCACTGCTTCCTCTCTGAAGTGTGGAATCAACCCAGCAGTCATTATGTTGTTGTCTCTGTGTCGGCTGATCCTGAAGATGCTGTTCGCTATGCCTCCATCACCTTCACCAAGAGTACTACTAAAACTTTGGTAAGCTTATTGTTATCAACTACATGGACCGGGCAGATTTATGTACACTTTGCTTTTACATAGCTGGGCCCCCTTTTTGCCTTAATTCTTAGTGGCAAACATTCCTCATGAATTTTGATTCATATTTAAATGATAGCATCACACTGTTGCTGCAGAGCCTTGATGACATCTCCCACTCCACCACATCCCAAAGGTGTACAGAAGGTACACTGAACCCAATTTCATATTCTAGAAACAAATGTGAGGTGATTTGAGCTGCATAACATGGCACATTATCCTGATGGAAGCAACTATCAAAAGATGGGTACACTAAAAAAAGAAAAAAGACATGGTCAGCAACAACAGTTTGGCTTTGGCATAAAGAAAAGGCCCAAGATCACAATATCTCTCACATCAATATACCCACCACCAGACTGAAACAGGATGGTGCCATGCTTTTGTTTAAACCAAAGTCCCTGCTTTTCAAATTTAAAAGCAGAAATTAAGACTCTTTAGAACAGGCAACATTTTTCCAATTTTCTATTTTCGTTTTGGTTACTTTGGTTTTAATAATTGGTTATTTGAGTTACTGATGCCTTTCCATCAGCTAGACGCAAACTGGCCTTTGACCTCTCACTACTGCAGCGAGAGAACGTGACACTGATGACAGCTGGGGAAACGTAATCATAAATTCTTGTTGTCAAGCGGTTACAAGAAATCCTTAGAAATTTAAGGCTGGCCCTATTTTTTTTTTTTTTTTTTTTTGACAGATTCAGTGGGACAGGTGTATGCAATGGTTCAACCAGCTCTGTGTGGAAAGCCCACATGTACAAAAAAGCTTTTCGTTGTTTGCCTTGTAAAACGTTTTCACAGTTACAGCAAGTTTGCCATGGGTACACTGAAGAGTAATTGTGTATAATCTGCCTTATAATGTTAACAATTTTATTTCTTTAATTTTGTCTGCATTTCAAGTTGAGTCTTTAACAGTTTTACGTTCATGCTGCTAGCTCAAAAAAATTGAGTAATCTTGATCCTGCAGCTTTACAATTTCATTGAAATGTATAAAGTTTTGTAGGAAGTAGACTGTGGAAGAAAAGAGCTATGGTAGAACGCTCTGTTGTAATCCATACACTGAACCATAACGTAACACCCCCCCCCCCGCACGCACAAAAGTAAAACATCACTATTTCCACGTCTCGCGGGTTGGAATGAAGGCGGAGTCAACTGGATCCGCTGTCCCTCCCTGCCCGGTGCGCGCTCCTTACGCAGGGGAATCAAATTGTGTCGGGGGTCGGAGATAACGACCTTGGTGCACCCTGCTGCCCTGCGGAGAAACATCTCCTCAGGGTCGTGGCTGCCCTCATGGCGTTATGGGCCGCGCGGTCAAATGGTCCTCTGGCAGCATTACTACTACCTCCCTCGCTGCGTCAACCAGCTGGTCCCTTCACAAATATCAGCGAAAAGGCGGGCAAGCTGAGACACACTAACAGAGGCAGCAGCCGCAGTGCCCACTCCTCCTCAGGCCGCCTTTGCCGTGGCCTGAAAGGCTCTCAGGAATGCCCGGGAGTCATCTCCCTCCCCAATTTCTCCTAAGGACTGTAAAAATTCAAACAGGCTACTTATGGACGGCTGTTTACATAAGGCGTGAGCAAAGGAGGGGCTGACGTTACTGAAAATACACGGTGTCCTGACTATTAGGTCAAATCTGTGAATTACATCTGTCTGACTTTAAACTGTTCAAATTCAGCAGCTGAACTGATGTAGTGAAGATTTGTTTTTTACTTACTGTAACTTTAAATACTGAGGAAAACAAGAAAATGGAAAACAGGTGTACAACAGCTCACCTGCTGCACCTACTAAAAACCCCAAGGGAAAAGGCGCCAGAGAGCGAAGGAGAGCAGAAACTTCAAAGATAAAGGAGGGTGGAGAGGGAAGGGCACGGGCTGTTAAGTATTTACTTTGCCTTTATTTTTATCTGTTTAAATATAGAGTGATATACTTTCATTGTGAATAGAGTTAATTAATACTCGTCTCACACCACGCTTGCTGAGGTGTTTTATGATATCACTACATCTATTTTATTTCACATATATCATCTCTAAACACTGTAATATCTCCCCCAAGTCAGATTTGGAAAATGGATTTCTCGTTTACAGAATCTTTTGTCTATTCTGTTCCTGTGTGTGAATAAATAACCTTTGACTGACTAATAGATGAAGAAGCCTAAATAAATCACAGGGGGTGATCATCAATACTAAGTCGGATTCAGAGAAACGAGTGACTTTTTTGAGTCTCTTTTTTTTTTCTTTTTTTTTGCCTGTCCCGTTTGGCTCTTTTGCCATCAGAATTATTGTCTAAAAGCAAAGGAAGATGCCCAACGGATTTACTTTACCAAATTGACCATCCCAGCCTTGCCGTAATGGTCCATTTGATTCACCTTTTATTGTTTATTTTATTTTCACTTGCTGAATACGGGACAGACTTGACTGGGGGAAAGAAGGGGAGAAAGAAAGAGAAAAAGAAAAACAGCTGAGAAGAGGGACGGGGGAGAAGGGCAAAAAACAAAAACCAACAGAATAAGCAGAGAGAAAGAAAACATCATAGCACCGAAAAAAGACTTTTTTGAGTCTCTGATTTCCTACACTGCCATACCGGGATTTGGAGGGCAGCTAAGTTATTTACTCCACCTCTTGTTTGTGTCATTTGAGGGAGGAGTTTACGGTCAGACTATATTACAGCTCTTTCAGTGAAACGAAACTATTCAATGTCATCCCCAGAAAGTGAACACACTCGATCAACTGCTTAGGAAAAAACAAACAACAAAAAACAAAAACATGGCTGGCAAACCTGCATTGGAAGGTGAGTACTTTTATCACTTTCACTCTCATTTAAAATTAATTTCTATAAATAAATATCTCAGAATTAAAGCATGGGGCGATCTCTATTTTATTAGTTTTCTTTAAGAAAAGAAGTATCCAAGGTTTCAAAAAAAAAAAGAGAGAGAGAGAGAAAACGGCAAGGTTAAAATTAAATCATAAAAGGTATGTCTCCATTGTTTTTAAGACTTCAGTCCAGGCTATTACTTTTCAGTCTAGCTTCACTAATGGCAGTTGCCCTTAACAAAATGGCTGCAGGTTGAATGTCGTTTCCAGAATCTCAGAGTGAATACTCGGTGTGTGGCATGCAAATAGCGCGTGAACTTGGTCTCTGTGTGGCCATTTACTAGAGATTTTAAAAAGAAGAAAAAAAGAAAAAGAAAAAAAAAACCCTTTACTAGAATTTCTGATTTACATGTCTCACATGGTCCTCTTTTAATTTTTTTTTTAAGTTTGTTATGCCCATTATATCTTTGGACAGTTAGCCACCAAATAACCCACCTGTTTTGAATGCAGTTTGTTAGACCTAGAGCTATCAGCACAGGCACCTTAGAGCCACTGATAGTAGGTTGGACCTGATGGAGGGATGCTCTGTTGTGAGTTGGAGTGTTTCAACTGTGAATTATTTTGAAAGGTTCCAGTAAAGACTAGACTGATTTGTTTGTTACACTGGAATGATATATAAAATAGAGTTTAGGATGCAGCTGAAATGAATATTAAAAACACATAACTTGATCATTTCTGAAGACAACTTTACATCAGTCTTCAGAATATCCACAAACAGCACTAAAATCCTATATCATAACATTCTTAATAACAGTTTTAGTTAAAAATGAGCTGCTAAAACAAGTATAACATGTGTTCTAAAAAATAAAACACTGAAACAAACTAAACAACACAAGTTGGACACCACATGAAACAAAATATGTCTCACGTTTTACTTTGTCTGAGACGTGGGACGTGAAAACAACATGTGGGGACTCACATGTTCTCAGCAGGTTTTTGTATAATAGCTCATTGTTGAATGAAAGGCTTTATTGGCCACATGCAGGTTGCCCCGCAGTGGAATAGAAACCCCCCCCCCCCACATGGGAATACAGGTCAGAGATCGGCAGCGTTACAGAAAAACACTGAAAAAGTACACAACAGTAGTAATACGATGGCACTAGTCCAATATGGCGGCCAACCAAACCGGTTTGACCGGTTTCGTGTGTGTGCACATGCGCGTTCAGGTGTGTTGAGGGTACGCGAGTTCATGTGTGGAAACACCACAGGGTGTCAGAGGGGTTATATGAGTTTATGTGTTTTTAACTGGGTTTTAATTTAATCAAACCATAGGGTTTTTTAATTAAACTATTTTTATCACTTAGGTGTATCGCAACATTCAGTTATGCAGACATATATGTTCTTAAAAGCAATTCTTTGTTTTGCGGGTGGAGTAGAAGCTGTTTTGGTTCACAGTGCACCTTAACAAAGAGGGGATGCTTTTTATTTACATCTAGTCAAAAGTGTTGCCACTTCTTTACTATGTCAGCAAACTTTCTGAACAGGAAAGGTATCGTAGATTTAAAGACACATCTTCATTGTTCAGAAAGTTTGCTGACATAGTAAAGAAGTGGCTAGGGAACTCAGTAATTATGAGTAGCCACAGCTTAGGGACACTTTCTCAAATAAAGAGGATTTCATCATCTGCGGTTGGTGAAAAAAAGTGCCACATTAAAAACAAATTAGCAGATCCACAAAGTATGGATACAGACTCTTTTCAACTATAGAGGTAGATGTACGCTTCATGTACTTGTCAACATACATTTCAAAGGCTTGCATTAGAGTGCATTGGTGCACACTTGGGCATCTTTTATTTAACATGGTTATACCACTGTGAATTTTGCTATATAAATATACTCAAAAGTCTATCATATGTTTGACATCCAGCAAAAAATTCAAAAAAATATATTTTTAAATCAGTAACTTAGCAAATGAAATGTTTTTTGGACAACAAATGAGTCACGTTTTAAAAACAGTTTAAATAATCTGCGCTGCCAGACAGACATTTATGAAGCGCTGGCTATAACACACATGCTTACCGTGTGAAAGGACCGCGGATGTCTTGGAGCAGAGAACCTCGTTGTATTGTCGCTTTTCTCTTATGCATAAGCAACGCTGGCTGGTCATAAACGCTCTGTGTGGGTAGAAAATGGTCTGCACCGGCGCTGGTCCTGACGCGAAATGGCAAGGGTCTCACGCTCTCAGGAAGGCTTAATATAGGACCGGGTGCTTCCAAAAACAATAGATGGGGTGCCTATAAGTCTGGGGGGGGGGAAGCCATACACCTGCAGGGCATCACCTTGCTGTGCAAGTTTAAAACAATGAGGGTGGGGCACGCAGTTGCTGAGATCCGGTGTAACTGGCCAAGATAGGCCTAAGGGGCCGCTGTTGCTGGCTACTTCAGAAAATAGGCGAGACCTTGCTCGACTGGTACATCTGCGGGGCTTTTACCTTGTCGAGGAATTACAAAAAGAGCCAATACCGGCCACTTTAAACAATAGGTTGGGTCCCGGCCTTGCTCGACTGGTACACCTGTCGGCTTTTACCTTTTCCTAAGGAATCCCAAAAATTAAATGACACCCGCGGTGGGCTTTTGTAATCCTGAACAAATTCAAACAATTAGCCAGCTGTTGAAAATACGGAGCAGGTCTGAGCTACTGGTTTTAGAAGTATCACTGCAGCGTTTATTTTCTAAAGAGCTGAATGTTATTTGCGACCATCTATTGTGTTAAAAACTACTCTGAAACCATGAAACCCCTTACAGAAGAAATGCCCATTTGATCTGTTTTTAAATAAATAAAATGCTTGCATCACTTCAAGGTGTGACATCCGAATCACAAAATGAGTGTGATTAAAACACGATTAGTTTGAAAAGAGCGATACTGGTTGTTTTGGGGGGAAAGGTGACATCGTGTGCAACGTGTTTTAGAAGTAGCCCAATAGCATTTATTTTCTAAAGGACTGAATGTTAGGCTATTTGTGACCATTTACTGTGTTAAAAAGTAGCTGGCTTTGTCTCCCTCTTAGTTCAACATTCCGAAATCCCGATTTTTAAATAAAATGATCGCATCAACCCTGGAAAGATGCGTAAAAACTAGTTAAATTAAAACTAGGGGTTTGATTAAATGAAACGCTTGTGAACATGCTGACATTACCCATTCAGAAGAAATTCCCATTTGTGCCGTTTTTAAAATAAAATGCTTGCATCACTGCAAGCTGAGATATTGTCAGAATCACAAAATTAGTGTGACTAAAATACTATTACCAACACTTTTGACTAGATGTAATAAAAAGCATCCCCTCTTTGTTAAGGTGCACTGTGAACAAAAACAGCTTCTACTCCACCCGCAAAACAAAGAATTGCTTTTAAGAACATATATGTCTGCATAACTGAATGTTGCGATACACCTAAGTGATAAAAATAGTTTAATTAAAAAACCCTATGGTTTGATTAAATTAAAACCCAGTTAAAAACACATAAACTCATATAACCCCTCTGACACCCTGTGGTGTTTCCACACATGAACTCGCGTACCCTCAACACACCTGAACGCGCATGTGCACACACACGAAACCAGTCAAACCGGTTTGGTTGGCCGCCATATTGGACTAGTGCCATCGTATTACTACTGTTGTGTACTTTTTCAGTGTTTTTCTGTAACGCTGCCGATCTCTGACCTGTATTCCCATGTGGGGGGGGGGGGTTTCTATTCCACTGCGGGGCAACCTGCATGTGGCCAATAAAGCCTTTCATTCAACAATGAGCTATTATACAAAAACCTGCTGAGAACATGTGAGTCCCCACATGTTGTTTTCACGTCCCACGTCTCAGACAAAGTAAAACGTGAGACACATTTTGTTTCATGTGGTGTCCAACTTGTGTTGTTTAGTTTGTTTCAGTGTTTTATTGCACAGAGAGCACATAAATGTCCACAGTACAACATTGGAGCACGTGACAAGCCACAAGGTTGGGTAGGGGGTGAGGAGTAATCCGAAGGAAACACAGCAGTCATCCTGCACAGCGTTACCATTCCAGCGCGGCACACAGACCCACCGTCTTCCCCCACAGGAAACAAGCATCAAAGGCGTTTGGAAAGGGAGGGAGATGAGTGCGTGCTTATCAGTGTAAATGTATGTGTGTGCGTGTCCAGAGTTCAGCTGAGACAGTGTCCTCCGCCCTATCAGGCTAAGTAAACAGTCTGCCAGCCAACCCAGGTGGCCTTGCATGGAATGGGAAGAATAGTCAACTCACAGTTGTTATCTGGGAGTTTTTGTTCGGCTCCAGCCTTGGGGCCGCAGCTGGCGCCGTGGTGTCCGCATGTTGATGTTGTTGATTTTTCTTTTATGCGAGCAGCTCAGGAGAATTTCAAAGCTGTTCTTTAACACTCCGACACTGGTCTCTCAATCTCCCGTTGGAGAACCGCGAGCCTCCCCATAATGGTATCAAACTTCCGTTCCGTGGTGTTGTCATGCTTTTGATTCTGAGACCCCACAACTGCAGTGAGCCGTTCTGCGATGTGATCCAACTTTCGCTCAAGGGTCTCATTTTGAGCAGGCCTCTCTTTGATGTATCCCAATATATGCTCAATGGTGTTATTTTGAGTCTTCACGGCAGCTGTAAGCATCTCCAAGGTGTTAACCATGCTGCATTTGTTGTGAGAAGTCGCGCCTCGTCCCATCGTTTCAATTCCAGCAGGCAGCCTTGGGGGGGATTTGAACAGCCGGTTCTGCTCTCTTAATTCTCCGATAAGCCAGGGCCAAGCCAGCTCCGATCAGATATCTTCAGCGTCCTCGATCGACAGTCCCGCCAGGCACACGATCCTCCATTTCTGCCACCCGTCCATCGTGTATCTGGCAGGGAAAGTCCCTCCAGGGCTCTCCCGTGCCCAGACTTCTTGTTGAGAAAAGGGTGTCAATAGCATTCAGAGACCAGTTGATCAAATCCATAATTCTCTTTTAGGTTTTAGAGAACGACAGTGAGAAACTGTTCCAGAGAAAGTATTACACACGAGACAGGACAAGGACACAAGAGGCTAAGCAGGGAAGATAAGGGGAAGGAGGAGAGGAGAAAAGTGCAACCGCCTTCGCCAAGAGCCAAGAGAGAAAAAAAAAAGTGCTTTTTGTGGCCTTGTGTAACCACAGGGATAAAAAGAAACCGATCTGGTTTTCATATTCAGTGCACAGCAATCCAGGAAAAAATCTGTTCTGGGGGGAAAAAAAGAGCAAACAAAGTCATGTCACTCTGAGCTCTACCCAAAATATTTGAATCTTTGTGTCTAATTCAAACCTTACTGTCTGGGTTTTTTTTTTTTGCTTGTTTTCTCTTTTTTCTTTCTCAACAGGTGATCCAGGTGATTGACATATGTATTTTTTGTCTGTTTGTTTTGTTTGTTTTTGTTTTTTGCCCTTTATCACAGTTCCTCTTCAACGCTGTTTTTGTTTCCCTCTTTCTTTCTCCCTTTTCTTTTCCCCAGTCAAGTCTGTCCCGTATTTAGCAAGTGAAAATAAAATAAAATAAACAATAAAAGGTGAATCAAATAGACCAATACGGCAAGGCTGGGATGGTCCATTTGGTAAAGTAAATCCGTTGGGCATCTTCCTTTGCTTTTAGACAATAATTCTGATGCCAAAAGAACCAAACGGGACAGGCAAAAAACCCAATAAATAATAATAATTCAAACCTCAGCTTCAGAGCATTTCCTCCATCTGTCTGACACATTTTTTTAGTCTAACTACTGAAACTGCAAAAACTCCTGCTGTTTACATGAACCAGTTATAGTTACTGTACAGTGTTTTTTTGTTTGGTTTTTTTTTTTTTTTTGGGGGGGGGGGGGGGTTGCATAAAAAATATTAATTATAATGTTTAAAAAAAAAACTAATGAAAAACTTGCTAAATCTCCTCTCTCAATACCAAATTGCTTATTCTGCCGTTAACTCTAGTTTTGAGCTTCTGGTACTTCAGGTGACGATAATCATTCATAAGACTAGTGCCTGTGCCATTGGGCAGTTTCAAGCTGCATCACTATTTGGAGTAAGTCCTACTACCATCTCCAAATTGAAGGCTATGTCAGAGACAGGCCGTGAAGTGGACATCCCAAGAAGACAACACCACAAGAAGATCACCCTGTCAGCACTTAGGAACCATAGGCAGAGTTCTACAGATTTGTAGTCAGGGTTTGCAGGATGATATGCCAACTTTTGTTTTGAAAATGGTGACATGATAGAAAGTGCACAGGATGGGTACTGGGGATCCTGCTTTCCTCAGTTTACAGAAGAAGTAGAGGCATTGCTGTGCTTTCTTGGCCAGTGATGCAGTGTTGCATGTTCAGGAGAGGTCCTGTGTAATGTGCACACCCAGAAGTTTTTGCGCTGCTCACCTTCTCCACAGCAGCACCATTTATTTTGAGTAACCAACTGATTCACCTTCTTCCTGTAGTTTATCTCATCAGTGTTACTAATAAGACCCACCACAGTTGTATTATCTGCCAACCTAATGAGGAGGTTATTGCTGTAGTGCAAGGTGGAGCCAAGAATCAACATTGTGTAGACAGTGGCGTGTCCAGCGGGGTGGCCTGGGGGGGTCACAGGCTCCGTGGGATGTTCAAGGCTTGGGAAATCTTTGGGAAATCTTTTTGTAGCCTAAGCTTTAAATTTCTCAATCACTTTATCCCTGATCTGTCTGGTGTGTTCTTTGGACTTCATGGTCTTGTTGCTCCCAATATTCTCTTAGACAACCTCTGAGGCCGTCACAGAGCAGCTGTATTTGTACTGACATTAGATTACACACAGGTGCACTCTATTTAGTCATCAGGCAATGCCTATGGGCAACTGACTGCACTCAGACCAAAGGGGGATGAATAATTACGCACACCCCACTTTGCAGTTATTTATTTGTAAAAAATGTTTGGAATCATGTATGATTTTCGTTCCACTTCTCACGTGTACACCACTTTGTGTTGGTCTTTCATGTAGAATTCCAATAAAATTGATTCATGTTTGTGGCTGTAATGTGACAAAATGTGGAAAAGTTCAAGGGGCCAAATACTTTTGCAAGCCACTGTAGATGTTTTAAGGCTGTAAAACCCCTCACTACACACTTTATACACTTTTCTCAGACAGGCACTTTTCTCTCTTGTTTAAACACCCTCGAAGTTCAAGCCTTCGTAGAAAAATAAGTCCAGTATTATGGAATGAAACCAAAGACTAAACCCTGTTTTCAGGTGCAGGACATGGGAATAGAGCAGCTGCGAGAGAATTCAATATTAATGAATCAATGGGACAGAAGTAGACGAAGCAAGAAGAACGAGTTGAGTAAAGTTTGACTTATCTGACTCTTTTGTTTCGTTTAATGCGCCTCATAACCTGGTGTGCCTTATGGTCCGAAAAATACGGTAACTTTTAGCTTCCTTTAGCATGTCAAAAGATCCAACTTTTTGTGCGTTGGTTAGCATCTTCCTCTGCCTTTTGAGTGCTACCGCAGGTGCCTTTGACGGTACAGCACTTCAGAGTCACACTGCTAGCGATCGAAGATTTATGTAAATTTGACAAGCTGAACTCATTCTGTACTGTACAGGAGACATGGCACTAGGAGACTGATTGACAGTTGTTTACAGCCAATCAGGATGCCGAACACATTTGTGTGGGGGGGAAAAGAAAAGAAAAAGCATGCAAAATTGCAAAAAAAAAAATCAGCGAAAGAGCAAGACCTTGAAAGGTAAACCCTGTTATGGCGAGGGACCACTGTAGATAAAATAAACTGATGGGGGTAAACAGGTAACATCATTGTGTTCTCTCACAGATCTCAGGATTGTACTTGTTGGGAAAACTGGAGTTGGGAAGAGTGCAGCAGGAAACACCATCTTAGGAAGAGATGCTTTTAAATCTGAGCTGACTTCTTCCTCAGTGACAGAAGTGTGTGAGAAAAAGATGGGAGAGTTTGGTGGCCTTAAACTGGCTGTAATTGATACACCAGGACTGGGTGACACAAAACAATCTGAAGAGCAGGTGAGGAGAGAGATTGCTCGATGCATGTCCTTTGCTGCTCCTGGGCCACATGTTTTTTTGGTTGTGCTCCAGCCAACCAGATTCACAAAAGAAGAACAAAAATCAGTGAAAATCATTCAGACAATATTTGGAAAAGAGGCATCACGTTACACCATGGTACTGTTTACCCATGGAGATGAGCTGAAGAAAAGACATTCCTCCATAGAAAAATTAATTAATGAGAATCCAGATCTCCGCCGCTTCATCAGTCAGTGTCACAGAAATCATCATGTTTTTGACAATGATGACAGAGATCCCTCTCAGCTTAAAGAGCTGCTGCTGAAGATCAGTGCAATGATTCAACTAAATGGAGGAGGCTTCTACACCAACGAAATGTTCCAAGAGGCCGAGAGAGCCATAAAACAAAAGATTAAAGAACTTCTGGAAAAATATCCAGACATGAATCTTGAAGAAGCAAGAAGAAAGGCAGAGGAAGACAACTCCTTTATTCAGGCTGTTCTAAAGGGTGTTGTTATTGGAGCTACTGCTGGAGGTCTAGGTTTAGCTGCTGCTGGTGCAGCCGCTGCTGGAGTTGCTGCTGCTGGAGCTGCTGCTGGAGCGGCTGTTGGAGTTGGAGTTGGAGCTGCTTTTGGAGCTGCTGTTGCAGCTGCATATGCCGGGGTTCCCAAACAAGATATATATTTCAGAGTGAAAGATGAAACAGGATGCAACATACAGTAAAACACAAAGGATTGCAGTAATTAGTTAGATCATTCCAGCCCTATGAAAAATTTAGATAAACTTTAAACTATATTTCATAAATATTGTTTATTTTTCCTGTTCTGTCACCACATTATCTTTATCATAAGGCTGATTGCTGCTCAGATACAGATATAGATTAGCATCTTGTTTCATTAATTATTTTTATGATTTTTTTGTCTGCAGCCCTTGACATGTCCTTATGTTGTATGTCAGTAGAACACATTATCCACACTGAACCTTTTAATTATGTTCCTATATTCAAAAGCAATAACTGATTGATAACTCTGTGTGTGTGTGTGTGTGTGTGTGTGTGTGTGTGTGTGTGTGTGTGTGTGTGTGTGTGTGTGACTTTGTTTGCCACTGATGGACTCAAAGGTGATCAAAGCAAACAGGCTGGAACAGGCTGGACGTTTGGTCAAATGTGCCCCTCTGGATTATTAAGTCTAAAAAATGTTAAAGTGATCCTTTTAAAATAAATTACATCAAGAGAAAAAGCACATGCTGTCTGAAATGCTTTTTATTGTTATCTGCTGTTTATAAAATGAGCTATTATGTACACAGGTGGTGAGCATACTGATACACTGGTGTAACGCCACCTGATGACCTGTGTTGTTTCAGGCTCACGCCTCAGGGTGGTGCTGGTGGGGCAGGAGAGAGTGGGGAAGAGTTCAGCGGGAAACACCATCCTGGGAAAGAAGGCATTTGACTGTAAGATCAGTTCCAGCCCAGTGACTCTGTGTAGTCAGAAAGTAGAAGCTGATGTTCAGGGTCGCAGAATCTCTGTGGTCGACACTCCTGGACTCTTCAGCACTCGGTTGTCTATAAACATGGTGAAAGCAGAGATGTTAAAAGCACTCAAGCTGAGCTTTCCAGGTCCTCACGTTTTCCTCCTCGTCCTCCAGCTCGGAAGATTCACCAAACAAGAGCAGGAAGGGCTGAAAAGCCTGCAGACAATGCTGAGTCCTGACGTTTCCAAACACACCATGGTCCTGTTCACATATGGAGACCGACTGAAAAACACCATCGACATAGAGAAGTTTGTCAGCAATGACAACAACCTGAAGGAACTGCTTAAAAACTGCTGTGGTCTGTACCACGTGTTCAACAATGAAGAGATGGATGAGAGGCTCCAAGTCCACGAGCTGCTAGACAAAATAGACTCCATTACAGATGGAGGACATTTGTACTATCAGGGAAGCTTTGAGTCAGAGAGATCGATCAGGATTTTCTATGTGTATTGCTGGGGTTTAACGCTCCGGGTTCTTAGACAAGTTAATTACATGGGAATATTTAACATCATCCGTTTCATCTTCACATGGTGGGAGACACATTTCGAGTGAGATAAAACTGTAAAATGAGGCAGAGGAGAGAAAGAACACAGGATGACGGCTGAGAAACAAAGGACAAAAACAGGAGTATGTGACAGGAGCAATGTTTTCATCAGTCCTTGATATCCAGAGGTCACACATCCACAGATTTTGTTAAGCATATATCTAGATTAGGATCATAGCTGGGTGGAGTCTATTCCAAGTGACAGAGGTGTTGATGAAATCTGAAATAAACTGAGATAGACACAACCAGGTTGTCTTGATGAGTTGTATTTACCTTTGGGTCAAGCAACAGCACTGAGAGATTAACAGTAGTCTGCATGTTTTTGACAAAGAGAGACTGTAAGCCTAGATTAAAAAAGAAAAAAGAAAGAAACAATTTATCTCTCAGAATCCCGGGTAATGACAGATATCTTGTACACAGACATGTGGTACATCTGTAAGATTACTGTCGCCAAGTAAGAGTAAGAAAACAGGTAAGAATAACCATTTAAAATCATCTAAATGACATTTTTGAAGAAATGTACTGTTTTTCTATTTTGATATCTACTTTTTCCTAAACTGATTTTTGTTCGTGTATTCATGTCACTCCTTTATATGCAATGTTTTATGTTGCTTGTATCTATGTAAGTGGAAGTAGCTTCAAACTGATATTAATAAGTAGCTCTTAATATCATTGCAATACAGGATTAGCCAATATTCATTATTAAGGAAGAAGATGCAGATCAATAAAACAGTAATTTGATGATGTAGCCCGAGTTGTGACCTGTGCTGCCTCTTTTCCCCCTCTTATGTTAATTTGTTTTAAACAGAACATAAATCAGCAAACAGATTTCTCTTGTTTGTGTTATATTGTTTGCATGAACTGAAGAAGCATCTTAGATGAGAGTTGAAACATCTTTAAGGAATTTTACATCCAGTCGCTTTATTTCCAAGCTCCTTAGACTCTTGTTTACATTCTTTACCAGACTGGTGGATGTTTATCATTGTGGCTGTGGGTTTAGCACTCCTAATAGCTGTTGTGGTCATCATCATCATATACAAAAGAGTTAAGTGTCAGAATATTACCAAGCAGGATGGATTAACTTGAATTTTGTTTGTGGAAGCAAAAGTCCTTGTCTTGTCTTGTCTTGTCTTGTCAGGGAAACCAGCAAAAATGGATACAAACACTGTGAGTTTTTAAAATAGACTTATTAAATATTTATTACATTCTTTCTTTGTGGACCAAGTGCATGATAACTTGACCTTTAATGCACTTATTTTCTAAAGTGACTTGGACAAGGTTGTCTACAAAATGAATCTCGTATTTGTTGATGAGCTTATTGGGCTTTGAATATTAGTGTACACACATAATGTAATGTGCAAATAAAGAAATAAACAGTGTTGAATAGTCTCATCAGGATGCTTTCAGAAAGAAAAGTTTCAGGGATCACTAAACAGGCAACACTCAAATGCAGGACTCGATCATAGAAGTTCAGGCCATTTATTTACATTAAATTAGAGTTCAAATAGAAGATCAACATTAGAGAAGTTCTTGGTTTCTACAAGTTAGTGTTTTCCACAAGTCCACACAGATTCTCTTCTAAGAACACAAACCAGCCCACTGCTCTCCAGCAGAGAAACGAGCAGAGCAATCCAGCAAAGATGGAACAACTCCCTTTTAAATAAAAATAGAAGTGGAACATAAAATGAGGAAGTGACTAATGAAGTGAAATGTTGGCTTTTTCTAAGTAGAAGCACTATTTTAGTCTTACTAACCGTAAGAATGATCGTAGCCTGAAGACTAATTTCTGGGGGGGGGATGCATCTGCCTATGGCCCAGTGGCTGACAGCGTGGACAACAACTTGCTCCTGAACACCGTAAAGACCAAGGAACTTGTTGTGAACTTCAGGAAGAAGGCAGATGACATCCTGCCAGTCACCATCAACAGGGTCTGTATGGCAAGAGTCTCAGACTTCTGCTTCTTGGGAGTCAACAGTAGGAA